TCTGTCACCCTAGCAGAAGCAGGCCGGGGTGGCGGCGAGCGCGTTGCGAAGCGCGCTCGCTTCTTGGGAGCACAGGGAACATGGGGTTCCCACACGGGGCGGGGGTCGTCTACTCGTCTGTAGATGACCCGAGGTATGTCGGGGCACCAGGGCCTTCCTTTCTAGGGTATACCTGGTTCCCCGGCTATTAGTACCCGGCGAAGGCGTGCGGTTTTAGTCGGTTCGAGTCCGACATGCCACCGACAGGTGGTATCCGAGGGGATTTCCGCACGGAAAAAAAAAAAAAAAAAAAAAAAAAAAAGTACCTTTTAGTATTTGATGATACGTTTATGTAGACATATTTAATAAGTAAAATTTTACTTTGATTAAAATATAATGCAATTTAATTTCTCTAGCTTTTGTACCCAACTGCATATAAATATTTTATCCACCTATGAAAATAAAAGCCTGGGCGTTTCGGTCCGCGGGACCATGAAGGACCAATCCTAAAAGCGCTATTAGGCGCTTCGGTCCGCGGGCCAAAACACAAGCGGACCGAAACGCCCCAACACTCGACAAAACGGGTTTTACGTGCTAAATGACTAACTGTTCAATCTTTATTTGATTGTAAAATTTATGACGGTCACTTTTATCAAAACACACACTAACAAAACACAGAAAAAACAACTTACACGTGGTTGATATGTTGCAAATATAATTAGATTTAGCGAAAATGTAGTAGCTACATAATGGATGAATAGTAACAGTAGCTTCGTTAATAGGTTGTACAAACTGAAACCCAAATATAGAGCGGCAAATCCGTTGTTACACATTTCCCTTACGAAATTAGTATCTCTTTGTTATGGTCGAGTGCTTCGAGTCCATCAACTAAGAGAAAGTACTTGTAAATCCATATCGTATATGGATCGAAAAACGGTGAATCTGACGCATTTTAAAATTACATGATAATATATTGTATTCTATTATTTGCATTAATTTTAAATTATTATAAATTAAATAACATTTTTGTTGCAAAAATCGTAGCAATTGTAGGAAACATCAAAATTTGATGCTTTCGACTTCCTTTGCTATTACGTCTTAGCAATTTATTGCCATTTTTATAGACGAAGGAAATATTTGCGATATTCCTTAGTTTTAATATGGATGTAGTCAATAAAATTTACGTTATAATTACGCACAACTGGTTAAGCAAACACGGACCGGGCGGACGTGGCCCTACTAAGATGAAACTTTAATGACCGAGGGTTAAAAGAGGGCTCCACGCAAACATCAGTATGCTTTGTTCTCTTTTCTTTTTTGATAAAACTCGAATATTACGATATATAATACGTCATATGCTCGTATCAAAACCGATAAAAGCAAACATTACTCAGGTTTCAATTATCTTTCGTTCAAGTGACTATAAAAGCTGTCTGAAGGATTCCTTTGTTTAGATACGATGCATAAAGTAGACTGAACGCAGTATAGGTCGTCGACAAGCTGAGATACAAACGTAAGAAAAACATTAAAGACTGTCTGTACTTTAATGCCAGTACAACGCAATAGACATCGCAAGGTCGTAAGTTAGATTACAAGTATCAACAGCTCGACGTATAATTTTATGTTCCTCAATATCTATTGTTATCAGAAAGATGACAACAATAACAATGCCATATACAATACTTATAATTGGTTTAAGTTTTTATTTTTTATTTTAATTAAATGATAAGTAGGTATTTGCACCATAAAAGTATTTTCGAGTAGAATGCATTTATATAAATACTATTTTTACCTGAAGCTAATTTGATTTACAGCTACCAACAGTATTAGTGTTTATATTTCCTAGGGATATACATTATAATAGGTACTTCATCCATTGTTTCCTCCATTGCTTCATCCCGCGTGAAGCAAGGGTAAACCAACAAATAGACATGCTTTGTGTAATATTGTAAGGAAATTATGGAATAAGCATGCCTCATATCATAATACACTCCAAAGATGTTTCTTTATTCATTTCTGTTCATGTACAGTTTTGATTAATAAGGAATGATTGACTTTGATTAAATCTGTCTGACCTCCACTCCTGACTTATGGATCTATATAATTATGATTTCAAATCAATTCCATGAGTGACAAAAAAACTTTGACATTTATTTTCAGTTTTGAAAGTTTTATCTTTAAGATTAAGACAGCAGCAGTTGTGAACAATTTGTTAAACATGTAATGACTGTTTCTGACTAATTCCATTGGTGTTTGGTTGTTTGGAAAAAACATGCATAACTGGATATATTTTAATTTTTGCTCTGACAATCTTGGCTGCACTTGTTTGTACTGATCACTTATAAAATTTCCCAAAATAGCACTAGGTTATTTATGTTGTACTTACATATCACCAATGCTTGAAAACTTACAACTTTGTGATAATAGCTTTGGTCTACTGGGCTAGCATTAATTGATTTTCTGTGATTGTTTTGAGTTGTATTACTATTACTAATTATTTTTACCTATTTACTTAATCTGTGCCCTTGACAAATGAATATAAAAATTAATAATGATTTATTGAGTTTATTACTTATTATGTGAAAATTTTACAAACCAAGTAACAATTTTATATTGGCTATTGGGTCCTAAATAATACAGTTTTCGGGACTATAATAATTTAAACTAATAAAACAGTATAATTAATAAAATTTCAATATAATAGAGTTTTGAGAAATTATGAGATCTATTAGATAAATTTCATAATCTAAAATAGTTTTGACACTTATATGTACATCATAAAAATCCATAAAATAATCAGTAACTATAAAAGCCAAGGCCACCGAGAATTGCAATAGACAAGCAAGCTAAAATAAACTTCCTTAGAAAAATATTTTTATTAAGTTTAACAAGGAACCCCAAATTCAGATGTTACATACCAATTCTTTTCACTATTTGCCATATTTTGAGTGTTTCATACAAATGAGGAACTTGTCTGTTCGTTGACTATTCTTTTTATAGTTTATGTTGAAAATAATAATCCAAAATCACAATACAGAACACAAAAAGTCTATCTTAAACCTAGTAAACCCTTTCCTATTATTCACTATGAAGGTAATTGGCATATTTCTTTTACTGATATACCTCCATATTATATTAAAGAATTGTAGGTATATTAGAAAAAAATTACATTTATTTGTTCTTAATTGCAAATCCAGTTCTTTGCCAATAACTTCGAAATTTTGTCACAACACTGTATTGATAGATGTATTTGCATGTTATTTTAAAGTAAAAGACGTTACACACTCTCAGCAGACAGGAGCGAACCAAACCTCCTTGCGGAACTTCGTTCCGACCGGGGTCCATAGACCCCTCATGGTGTTTTTATGAAACTTAAAAGTTGTTTTTTGGAACTAATATTTTAAACTTTTATTAACTTAATTAAATTATTTTAACTTTTATTTGGAAAAATATTTATTTTCAAACTAACTAAATATTACCAATTTAAAAATTTGGGTTAATAAATAATTTCATTACTAATAATGATTGCTTCATCCTTATTAATAAACAACATAATCTATAAACTTGACCTCAAATAATAGTTCTGATTTAAGAAATATGCAAGAGGTTTTCTAATTATTTTAAAACTCACAGAAATGTTAGTTAATTAATATTTATAAATGACCCAAAGTCAGACATAAAATCAATGAAATATAAAGATTTCATCATTTTAAAAAGCATTAGTATAACATTATAAAGATTGTCATGTTAATTTCTTTAATTATTGATTAAAGTAAACTTCATTAGGGTAATTTAAAAACAAGCCTTATGGAAAATTGTTGTCTATTTTCATATTTAGTATAGTTTTTACAATTTCACTGTGTTGTCAACAATGAACATATTATATTGGTAGTAGTAAATACAGGTAGTTGTGTAAAAAATTTCAGAATGTTGTGTTTTATATCTACCAGTTTTATTTTTGAAAACAAATGGTTTCAGAAACCAGATTTTTACTTTGTTTAGAAATGTGATTAACAATTGTTTATATTGCAGTCACATGTACCTACTCATAACGAAAAACACATTGCTGCACATCATATTAAGATTTTGCACTTTAACAAGATTTTCTACCGTCTCTTTTCTCTAGCAAAACAACTTTCTTAAGAAGTGCATTCATTGCATTGTTAAGAGTGCCATAAAGAATGATCAATATGCAGTTCTTTGTGCTATAGGTATAATGGATGATTTGCATGCTAAGTGACCCACAAACCTAAATAACGGGAACCAATAGCCTATGACTGGTCTGTTACAGTTATGCTATGTTAATTTCCTTATTTTGTTCTGTCTTTAATACTGTTAAAAAAAAGGATTTTACGACATTTCCCTAAAAAAGGTTGTAATTTTTTTATTACAGACAGTAAATGAAGGATGAATAATATCTGTTTCTATTTTTTAATTATATTACAAACAGTTGTTTTTTTTTTATTATTCAGATTATGATTGATTATGATTGTATTGGTGTAAAATAGAAAGGTTTTTTAACAACTATTCATCATATCTTAAATTTTTCGGTTACTTCTTGAGTGTTTTAACCAATAATTACAATTTATTTTCGTGGATTTTAGCAATTATTTAAGTAATAATTATAGACAAATTACACATAACACAAAACATATTATACACGATATGTTATTCAAAACTTTACTCTCAAGTATTTAGTGATCGATAATATTCTGACAAGAAACGCATTGTCAGCGTACCTTCCGGTTGCATACGTATAACAAAAACACATGGTGTGCTTTAAGATTGCAACAATTTACGTGTATCACGAAAAATCTTTCATTTCCTACGAATTGCTACCAAACATAAACAAACAATAATATATGTATCTACGTACGCAACATAGTCTATGCATACTTAAAAGCAATTCTATCTGGCACTTAGCATCCACCCATGTAACAAAGCATTCTTCATGTAACCACATTGCATTCGTTTGAAACAATGTACTAAATAGAAGCACCACGTTGTAGACAAAAACTTACCGTTTTACGACCATGATAGAATCCGTCTCCTCGTTTGTGGACCCTATGATTCGAACTATATTTTACAAACGACACTAGAAATATCGGAAACACCATGAATTTACTGTATCACTATCAATTCAATTTATGAAATTCACTCATCGCTAAAAAGCGTAAAACGCACTTTTCTTCATAATTTCACTAACTTCGAATAATTGGCACTCCACTGTGATGAACATCAAAAACCTCATAAACACAAACTAAAACTAAAATGTGTTTTTAGATTACGGTACATACAACTAACTTCATATCAATCCAACGTGCAGGACGAACTGTTCTGAAGTTATAGAGAAAACATTATCCAATGTCACCAACATTCAAAAACCAAACAGAAGTTTATGTAAATGTCGGTGCTAGAAATAAAAATACAATTTAAAGATAAACCTTGTCTTTTTTTAGAGAAACTTGATCATTCATCAATCAATAACAAATTAGATACGGTAACAAAATAGACTATTACCACTTTTAACACTACAAACTTTCACGTTTTAAATTATAGTACCGCGCTGGCGCTGGCGCGGACTACCGCAGTTCAGCCAACCTAACACAGAAAATAACAACTGAGATTCTCGACTCGATGTCATTTATGTTCTGAGACACCTATTTACATGAAACATTATATTTATGAAGAGATAGCCGCGATAAGGTCATTGATAAATAGGAGTAAACAAATAGATAACATACAATTGTACGTAGCAAAGTGACACTTTTGATCCTTGTTGAATTTTGCGTGCCTCATTGGCCTTTGCTAATTAACGGCCAAAAGGGCTATCCATAAATTACGTCACGGTTTAAGTGGAGCGTTTCAACGAAGTGTGATAATACGTGACAAAGGTGAGGGGGTTATAAACTATGTGACGTCATATTTCGAAATCCAAGTATTTGCTTGATTCGTATCGATACTGAACTGGATCGATACAATGGCATTCGATCCATTCGATTTTTGTATCAATATAACCATATACGATCCGCTGGTGGATCAATACAAGTTCATGGAGTATTGCATCTAAAAAATCGTATTGAATCAAGTTGTAGTGTGTAATGTCAAAAGTAGTTAGTATCAAAATAAAAAGGATCACGCCTACATCAATGTCAAATGGAATCAAAATTTATTCTAAACATTTCTTTGGCGCTTGAATTTGTTAACATAAATAAAAATGTCAAATGTCGATATCGGTTTTATTTATTTGTATACCTAAGTACCTCCAACTTTTCGTTGTGCTAATTTATGATAGATTAGTATTTTATTTAAGATATTTTATCTCTTCTTCATATAATGTATATTTTTAAACAAAGTGACATTTAGAACTGTGTCGCCACCAAAAAAGTCACCTGTTTGGTCATTTTTGTAAAAATAATATTAGAGCTAAGTGAACATTGTGCCAACTTGATATGAAAACGAAGGGAACTACAACTAATTTAATAAAACATATTGAAAGGCACCATAAAAATACGGATTAGCAAGCCGTCAGTGAAAGCCAATCTTCAGAGTCTGTGAGTAAGGGGGCCTCCGTCAATTATGATTATCAATATCATGATGAAAACAAAATAAATTTACAAGAAGTACTTAATTTGTTATGAGACGGTTTAAACAATAATAGTAGTGATAAGGAAGTAATGTAAGAATAAGCGCAAATTGCATTGAAGAAAAACAAAATGACAAATTATTTCTTTTTTAAAGTAAGAGACTTTAAGAGACTTCAAGTCTTCTAATATTATAATCTTCTTATTTGCATTTTGCATTAGCAGGTGATTTTTTAGATTGAAAATGGAAAACAAGAGAAAAAATAACTCGCAATATAAATTGACTCCACTGTTTATATAGCTATCTCTGGGTCTCGGATCATCACCTTTAACGCAAGTTTAGTACGATAGCTATTGTCCTAGTGTCTAGGCATACCCGTTCTTCATCATACAAAACTAATACAAGCAAACACATCAAGCATCAAAACTTTATTGATCATCAAAAAATTTCGACCATAAAGACTTAAAGCCAAATTTCAAAATACCATCATCGATGAAGTTGCTTTATGGTTAAAATGAGGTTTACACATGGACACAACCAGTTTTCCTGTGATTGAAAAGAAAAAAAGACTGCCATACCAGTTACGAGACTCCCAATTCACTTATTATTTCTTTCATGAATACTCAATACTTTATATTTATTTTTCATTTTATTATTATTTAGTTTTTATTTTGCAATTTTTTTACCATGTTCTGTATGTTTTATGATGATTATTAGAAACTGATAATAGTATTTTGATTCTTTCAGGCCTGCGTGTAAAGTTGCAAAATATGTAACGTATCAAATTCGGAAGATTATCCCATAAATGTAATTGCCTATAACAAGGACCAGGAAGGAGGCCAGTGTACATCTTGAAATTTATATGACGTAATATTTGGATGATCCCTAGCCCCACACAAATTAATTATTTTAGTGTAACAATAAACAGTTGTCACTAAATTACGAAAAAGTATTTTATTTCATGATTTTATATTGAAGTATATTTTAGATTTACCATATTATGACTTTCTACATTGTACGTAGGTAATTCAGCACATATTAGAACGTATAGGGCTAAATTCGTAAAAAGATCCATCCATCTATATTAGGCTTGCACGCAATTTTAGTAAAATTATCAACTTAATTTTTAAATGTAAGTGATAAAGACTTTGTGAAAGTTTCGCTTTGCACCGTATCATAGTGTTAACAGATTTAAATAATAATGAACATACAGTCTGCCAAGGAAGTCATGAAAAGATTGAGGGCGCCACTGCTGTTATACCTGGTATCCCTGTTTACTTCGACAAAAACAATTTGATATCTAGTTTTTATATTTTACAACGTGATATAATATAATAATAATCCTATACAATCCCGCGTAGGGTTTATGATGATTTATTCATTATATATGTCTTGATCAAGTTAATTAAAACAAATACTTTTGCTTTACAAAATGTTGCAATACTAACTTTTAAACTTTCGCGTTCCATGATAATTAATATTATTTAACGGGAATTAACGCGATCTCTTATTTAGGGTATTACATACCTCTGGTTTGCCTGACGTTTCGACCAGGTTGCACCGGCCGTGGTCACAGGCTGACTGGCTCATCGGCGCACGCCCTCCGTCGTCGAATCCGTGAAGTAGAAGGCTCTTCATCTACCCGCACATTTTCGATATTATTTTTGTGTCGCCATGTACCTACTAGACCTACTGAGAGACAACGAGCTGCCCTTAAACTATATGGATCTACTTGAACACTGTTTAGAAGGCAACTATTTCCTTTTCCAAGGTCAACATTACCTCCAGATTGATGGTGTCGCGATGGGAAGTCCTGTAGCCCCAGTACTGGCCAACATCTGGATGGAACATTTTGAAGAGAAGGCTTTAAATCTCGGCCCGAATACCGTTAAGCTATGGAAGCGATACGTGGATGACATTTTCAGTATCGTCAAAGGAAACAAACAAGAAGTGGATCAATATATACAACATCTGAACTCTATTCACCCCAAAATGAGGTTTACATATGAAATGGAGACGGACAGGTCGTTGTCCTTCTTAGATGTTAAAGTAGCCGTGAGATCGGATGGGTCCTTGTCACACTGTGTGTACCGTAAACCTACTCATACGGACAGATACCTACACGCCACGTCTCATCATCACCCCCGGCACTTGCAATCTGTTATGACTTCACTCAAAAACAGAGCTTACGATCTCTGTGACCCTGAACATTTAGAACAGGAGCTAAAACATGTTCAGGAGGTACTCAAAGGTAACGGATATCAAGTGAAAGGAGGACGGAAGCAACCGAAAATAAGACGCAAGTATCCAGAAGTGAACAGGCAACCGGCCTATATGCCTTATGTCAAGGGAGTTACGGACAAGATCGGGTCTGTACTAAAGAAATATTCCATTCCGACAGTATACACACCAGGCATAAAGGTTCACAACATCGTCGGCACACCGAAGGATACATTGCCACTACAAACTCCGGGTGTTTATAAAATAGACTGCAGCTGCGGAAGCTCATACATAGGCCAAACTAAGCGGACTATTGCAGAAAGGGTCAAAGAGCATATCGCTGCTGTGAAGAACCGACAGACGAGCAAATCAGCGATTGCAGAACATGCACTCGATGCAGGCATCAACCACTGGATTGAATTTCACCGCACGCAAGTCCTCTCCACCGAACGTCACTTTTACTCAAGAGTTGTACGTGAAGCGATTGAGATTAAAAAGCATAAAACTTTCAATCGGGAAGATGGTTTTAAATTATCTACAGCGTGGAATCCAGTGTTAAAAAACATACCACCTCGCTTTTCTGCGCAATCGGTTAAACACCAGAATAGGGACTCATCGGTTTGCTTACAGAATAGGGACACTGTTAGTGTGGTATGTGACGGTACATGGCGACACAAAAATAATATCGAAAATGTGCGGGTAGATGAAGAGCCTTCTACTTCACGGATTCGACGACGGAGGGCGTGCGCCGATGAGCCAGTCAGCCTGTGACCACGGCCGGTGCAACCTGGTCGAAACGTCAGGCAAACCAGAGGTATGTAATACCCTAAATAAGAGATCGCGTTAATTCCCGTTAAATAATATTAATTAAAATGTTGCAATCTGAACCTTGTAGAACAAATTAAAGTGCTAAGTCCTCGTTTGTTCAAGTATATTTATATAGGTGTGTTGTGGATGCCTCACTTTGAAAACTAAACATACTTCCCTGGCTCAGTGCCTTCTCATTTACTCTATCTGCCAGGGAAGGGCTAACAAAGCCACATTGTAAAAAGCTGAGATATCCCTGAGTGCTACTTTGAAAGAGTGTTAATTAAACCTTAATACACTTAATATAACACAGACTAAGCAGAGAGTACAGAACTACCTGTTTGTCTATCATATAATGATACAGAAAAGCTATAACGTATTCGTAGCTAACGATAACTTGTATTCAGCCAGGCAGACGTTGAA